TAGTTTTGTTAATTTTTTCTAGTTATTAAAATACGTGGTCATTATAAAAGTTTTAGAATTATTGAAAAATAGAAAATCCAGATTACTCAATCTCGTTATCCTGACATAGTAATTGACTTTTATTTATTTATTTATTTATTTATTTATTTATTTTGAGACGGGATCTTACTCTGTAATCGAGGCTGGAATGCAGTGGTGTGATCTCGGCTCCCTGCAAACTCTGCCTCCCCGGGCTCAAGCAATCCTTCCATCTCAGCCTTCCAGGTAGCTAAGATCAGAAATGTATGCCAGCACACCTGGCTAATTTTTTATATTTTTGCTAGAGACAAGATTTCACCATGTTGCCCAGGCTGTAATTGACTTTTGTTACTTTGTATCTTGAATAATTTGCTTTTGAAAAGTCATTGTATGGTATATCCCATCGGGTTTTGGTTTAAGAAAAATGGACTGCTGCTTATTCATAAGTGGAAGTAGAAGTGGGATTGACACAAATAATCCACACAGTGGCCAAATAAAAAATAATGCAGGGCCAGGTGCATTGGCTCATGCCTATAATCCCAGCACTTTTGGAGGCTGAGATGGGTGGATCACTTGAGATCAGGAGTTCAAGACCAGCCCAACATGGCAAAACCCTGGCTCTACTAAAAATACAAAAAAAGTTAGCTGGGTGTGGTGGCGTGGCGTGCATCTGTAGTCCCACCTACTTGGGAAGTGAGGCAGGAGAATCACTTGAACCCAGGAGGCAGAGGTTGCAGCAAGCCAAGATCGCGCCACTGCACACCAGCATGGGCAACAAAGTGAGACTGTCTCAAAAACAAACAAACAAATGTAATACAGGTTCAATATCCCTTATTTAAGGTGTTTTGGACTTCAGACTTTTTAGGATTTTGTAATATTTTGCATTACGTTGGTCGAGCAACAGAAATCCAAAGTGAGCATTTCATTTGAGCATCATGTCAGCACTCAAAATAGTGTTTTGGAATATTTCAGATTGAGAATAGTCTTACAATGTCAACCACAAGGCCAATATTTCTTTGCATTCTCCTGATTTATCTTAAAAGTTCATTTACCTTTTGTTTTCTAACCTCTTTGTGCTTACTGTATTATAAAATATTACAATAAATGTCATACCTCTGTGTAAAATACTCCAGGAAGCTGTGCCGCATTTGTCAAGTGACTTTAAATTCTCTCTGGCATATAGCTGCATCCCCTGGGGGTACATGTAAACCTAGTTTGAGAAACTTAGACTCTAAATATAGATGAATTTGTATTTTCTAAGAATATATTATTAAGTAAAAGAAGAAATCAGATGTATACTAGATTTTCAGAGATTATCAGTGGAGAGATATGGGACATTCCTTTGAGAGGAAAGTGTTGGAATCATTTGGAAGATTTTTTTTCAGATTTTTCCCTTCTCCCTTTCCAGTTTGAGAATTACTGCCACAGCTAGTCCCTGTTCTGATGGAAAAGTGCTTTCTTCCCCAATGATATTGGGGTATAAAAAAGAATGACAGGCCGGGCACAATGTCTCACACCTATAATCCCAGCACTTTGGGAGGCTGAGGCAGGTGGATCACCTGAGGTCAGGAGTTCTAGACAAAGCTTGGCCAACATGGTGAAACCTGCCTGTACTAACAAAAATTAGCTGGGTGTGGTGGCGCATGCCTGTAGTCCCAGCTACTCAGGAGGCTGAGGCAGGAGAATTGCTTGAAGCTGGGAGGCAAAGGTTGCAGTGAGCTGAGGTCGCGCCATTGCCCTCCAGCCTGGGCAAGAAAGTGAGACTCCATCTCAAGAAAAAAATAAAAATAATGAAAAATAAAAAACAGTGAGGACTATTCAAATTTAACAGACACACACACGCACACACACACACACACACACAGACACAGACACATATACATATATACATACACACACTACATATACTGTGTATACTATTCGAATGAATTACAAGGTAATTTTTATTATTCTAAAATCTATTTGACTAACTGAATTAGAGTTTTCTGGTTTTATTATTTATCATAGCCAAATGTGATGTAATGCATTCAGTTACCAAAAAAAGTGAGTCCTTGACTTGTCCTGTTTCTACTATTCCAGTCTGATGAAGGTTAGGATTGAGCGCCACCCTGCTCCCGAATTAGAATATTATTTGCTAGATTAGAAATGTTTTTCTCCAAAATATCTGCAGAGCTCTGCCCAGTCTGACCATTTGTTCCCACTAGGGTCCCTTTAAGTGCCTCAGTGCTTTTAGCTTTCCTGTTTCTTTTGTTCTGTGTCCTCTGTCTTTCTGTCTCCTGCTGCTGGTGTCTAATATCACCATCATAGTAACAAAGTGTTTCTAATTTGAGGTCCAATGCCATAGAATACATTTTCTAAGACATACAATACTGTGATAAATGTAAGAAAATAGTTCCCTGATAAAAGGACATCTGACATAAAAACCGCTTAGGATCGTTCCTGTTGCGGCACAGAACAGACAGAATTTAGCAGTGGCAGTCTAAGTGTTCACATAGCAAGGCAGGTGCTGCCTCCTCGATAGGGATTCCACCTTTCAGGAAGCATGCATCTCACTCTGTGAAAACCTATGAAAACCTTGATTTCAGAGTTAGGAGAGAAGGTCAAAGGTCTGGCACTTCAATTCCTGTATCCTAGATTCCAGTCCATCTTTATTTTCTCCTCTATGTTTTCTACAGCCCTCTACCTCTGACATTTGGAGAATTCTAAGCTGTAACATAGGTAACTTACAGAAACAAAAATAGGACCCAAATAAAATTTCTTAGATTTTATAACCATGCCTTTTCCAGTTCCCTTTATCTTTTTCGTTTCTTTTTCTATATTGACAATTCTTCCTTTTGAGTCTTAAATGGAAGATCAAGTTATGTGAGTTAGTAAACATTATTACAAATAAAGATGTATTCTTGGAATGTTTTTAGAGTAAATATTGTGAATAAGGTAATATATGAGACCTTGGAGACTAAATGATGAGATCAGACAAATATCAGCGTCTTGGAGCTGATATAGTCTGGGTTGAAAGAGAGAGAAATTAATTAAATAATCAGAAATAACTATACATTTATAACTGATAACATTTGCTCATCCCTCTTATTGAAATGGTTTCTTCACTTTTAGTCTAGATTACCATACTCTTGGTTTCCTGCCTCACTGGCCACTCCTTTTTTGTTTCCTTTGCTGGGTCCTTCTCTTCTTGCACCTAAATACCGGAGTACTCTAGGCCATAGCCCTTGGATATTTTTGTGCTCTGTTCTCCCTCAATAATACCAGCTGGTTCAATGACTTTAAATAGCATCTGTCTTTTTATTTTTGAGACCAGAGTCTCGCTCTGTCACCTAGACTGGAGTTCAATGGCATGATCTCTTCTCATTGCAATCTCTGCCAGGCTCAAGCAATTCTTGTGCCTCAGCCTCCTGTGTGGCTGGGACTTCAGGCATCTGCCACCAGTCCTTGCTAATTTTTGTATTTTTTGTAGAGAAGGGATTTCACCATATTGGCCAGGCTGGTCTTGAACCCCTGACCCCAAGTGAGCTACCCGCCTCAGCCTCCCAAAGTGTTGGGATTACAGGCATGAGCCATTGTGTGTGGCCAGTATCTCTTGATATCTATATGCTGATGACACCCAAATTTATATCTGCATTTTGTATTCCTCCCTAAACTCAACCGCTTTCGATTTCACTGCATTGACCCAGTGGCTCAGGACAGAAATCTAAGGTATCTTTCATTCTTTCTTTACTTTCACAGACTTTGCTGTTCTCTCAGCAAAGTCTGTTGGCTATACCTCCAAATTATGTCCAATTCTTATCACCTTTACTGTTACCATACTGGTTCAGCTGACAGTAGTTTCTTAACTGGTCATTTGTTCCAAGTACCATTATTCCCATCCCTGATTATGGCATCTGTTAACCACTAAATAACTGAAGTAACCTTTTTTTCTTTTTTTTTTTCTGGAGAAAGGATCTCACTCTGTCACCCAGGCTGGAGTACAGTGGCATGATCTCAGCTCACTACAGCCTCTGCCTCTTGGGGTCAAGTGATTCTCATGCTTCAGTCCCCTTTAGTAGCTGGGATTATAGGCATGTGCCACCACACCAGGCTAATTTTTGTATTTTTAGTAGAGACAAGGTTTCACCATGTTGGCCAGGCTGGCAAAGTAATCTTTTTAAGGCCTAAAACAGACCTGTGCAAAATCCTCCAATGAAGTGCCGATTTCAGGTATGGTGCAGGAAATGTACAAGATGAATCTCAGAGGATAGGATATTAAAAGAGTTACAGAAGGGATGAGAGAATGAAACTATAATCATAAAATTGGAAATGGTGCCTACTGACAGAAACAATAAAGGTCTCTTATGAGATACTTCTCAAGATCATGCCAAACTTTAGGAATTTAAAGACAAAAAATGAAATTATACAGAATTTATAAATCAAACTAATAGAGAAACTTTTTGATAATTTGTTTATGGAGACACACAAACATGTACACGCATGTTTTAAGAATTTTTTAATCCTGTAAAAAAAATGGAGAAAAGCACAATGAACTTCTATATTCTCCTTACCTAGACTGTTAATGCTGGCTACTTTCTTAGGTTGAAACATATAAAAAATGTCCTTGTTTTGTTTTGTTTTGTTTTGACAAATAAATGATAAAATGGATGGTTCAACTGAATGCACACTAACATATACACTTATACGTGACACACATCCTTTAAACAAACCATCCAACAAACCATCTGAGAGTAGGTTATAGACATGAGGCTCCATTACGCATCTCTCAAAAACAGAAACATTCTACACAACTGAGAAAAATCAACATTAATTCATATCATCCTCCACATATAGTTCTTATTCAGATTTCTCTATTTGAACCATCAGTTTTTAAAGAAAATCACATTACAAAATCATTTTGTGCATCTGGTGGGCTTTCTCTTACAGAATAAAGTGACTGTGTTTACTGTTCACTTACTCTAGCTTTTTTCTTTGTGGTTTAGCTTCTTACATCCGTGTTTGACAATAGCATCAAGACTTTTGGAGTAATTGAGAGTGATCCTTTTGACTGGGAGAAGACTGGAACTGATGGCTCCCTAACAACCATCACTACTTCTACCACCCCTCAGTTGCACACTCGCTTGACCCCTGCTGCAATTGGGTATGTCCTAAACAGATCATTTGGTAGTGTCTTTTTCTGGATACATTATATTTGCAAAAATTTATTTCATCCAGATTCCCTCAGATGACCAAATGCTAAGACATCTGAGAGGGCCTATGGATTTCCTTGAATTAACATTGCTCTTATGTACACTTTTGGAATTACTTGCTTTAGATAATACTAATCGATTACACTGTGAAATGGGAGCTTACAGCTTATGTGACTTGTTGATGTCAAATTTATCACACGTTTTCTTCAAAATGAGAAGTAGCATTAGTTATGTTTCCAAATAATATATAAGACCCTGAAAAGAATGTGCCACAATCATATCTAACTATACTGTGGTAAAGTTTACTGGGAACAAAGCATGTAGCATTTTCCTCTTAAAGATTTAACTTTCATAATGTATTAAGAAAAGGTTGTGGTCTATTTCTGTTATCTTAGTTTTTTATTGTTAATGTTTTTTCCTCTACAGGTATTACATATAGTTCCTTTGGTCCTTTATTTTATTTTGTTTTTTGATTTATCTTTCTTATTTTTCTAATTTTTTTACCTGCTTTGGTTGTTTAAAACTTTTTGGTCAAAAAAAAAAAAAAAGTAAATACCCAGAATGCTGAGGCAGAAGGCTCACTTGAGCCCAGGAGTTAGAGGCTGTAGTGAGCTATGATTGTACCACTACACTCTAACCTATGCAATAGAGTGGGACCTGTCTCTGAGGAAAAGAAAGTAAATAGTAAATAGGGAAAAACTGTCATACAATTTAAGTTAATTGGGACATTTTACCACTAATCCATTGCTTTTATTTTTTATTCATTTTTAACACAGAGTTTTGCTGTTGTTGCCCAGGCTGGAGTGCAGTGGTGCAATGTCAGCTCATTGCAACCTCCACCTCCTAGGTTCAAGTGATCCTCCTGCCTTAACCTCCCAAGTAGCTGGTATTACAGGCCTTTGCCATGATACCTGGCTAATTTTGTACTTTTAGTAGAGACGGGTTTTCACTATGCGCGATTTCGGCTCACTGCAACCTCTGCTTCCTGGGTTCAAGTGATTCTCCTGCCTTAGCCTCCCAAGTAGCTGGTATTACAGGCCTTTGCCACCATACTAGGCTAATTTTGTATTTTTAGTAGAGACTGGGTTTCACTGTGCTGGTGTCAAACTCCTGACCTCAAGCAATCTGCCTACCTTGGCCTCCCAAAGTCCTAGGATTACAGGCGAAGGGGAAGTTGTGTGAAAGAGGAGGAAAAGAGAAGGGAGAACTTGAAGAAGGTAATTAACAGGCAAAAATGGTATACAGGTTGAGCATCCCAATTCTGAAAATCGAAAATCTGAAATCTCAAAAAAAAAAACAACCCAGCGGAATACAAAAAAACACAGAACTAGAGCATTTAAAAAGGTTTAGTCCAAAGATAGGTATTAGAACAAAAAGGTGAACCTTCTGAAATAATCCCCAAAATTATCTGTAAATTAATTTTGTGTTGCTAAGGCCTTGCATGTAGTAGGTGCTTAGTAAAAAGTCTGCAGTTGGGTGGACATGGTGGCTCACACCTGTAATCTCAGCACTTTGGGAGGCCCAGGTGGGTGGATCACTTGAAGCCAGGAGTTTAAGACCAGCCTGGCCAATGTGGCAAAATCCCATCTCTACTAAAAATACAAAAAAATTTAGCTGGGCATGGTGCTGCATGCCTGTAATTGCAGCTACTTGGGAGGCTGAGGCAGTAGAATCACTTGAACCCGGGAGGCAGAGGTTGCAGTGAGCTGAGATTGCGTCACTGCACTCCAGCCTGGGAGACAGAGCATGACTCAGTCTCAAAAAAAAAAAAGTCTGCAAGTGAAAAAGTAATACACATTTCACACATTAAAAAAAAAGCTGATTGATCTGACACCCGTTTATTTCATTATGGCACTGTGAAAGTTGATTATACAAATTAGGTCATTCTTGTCATATTCAACTAAATCAATCAAGAGGCGGGCTGAGGCGGGAAGCACTTGGGCACATAGCACCTGCTCCAAGAATTTAATTTCTTACAAGCCCAGCTGCTGAAATGGCCTGCTGTGACTCTAAGACTAAATTTACATACCCCTGTCACTCACCAGTCAGAGCCTGCCAGCTCCCGAAAGCTTCTCTAGTGCCAATGAGCTTTCTTTCAAAACAGTATGTAACATTTCTCTAATAAAACCCACAACCTCTTCTTTAGTCTTCAGGCATACCAGAGACCCACCCAGTCTGTGTGTACCCCAAATTGTAATTATTGCTTCCCAAATGAAATGTTACATTTGGAGATTCATCTGTATATTTTGAGTTCAACAGCCCTTAACATTTTCCTGTTCTATAACAGAATGGGCATAGTGGCTTACACTTATAATCCCAGCACTTTGGGAGGCCAAGGCGGGCAGATCATCTGAGGTCAGGAGTTCAAGACCAGGCTGCCCAACATGTCAAAAACCCGTCTCTACTCAAAATATGAAAAATTAGCCAGATATGGTGGCAGGTACCTATAATCCCAGCTACTCAAGAGGCTGATGCAGGAGAATTGCTTGAACCCGGGAGGCATACGTTGCAGTGAGCCTAGATCATGCTACTGCACTCCAGCCTGGGCAACAGGAGTGAAACACCAACTCAAAAAAAAAAAAAAATTCCCTAACAAAAATGGGTAAAGATTAGAAAATGTTGTTATCATTGACAAAAACTTCTGGGAAATTGATGAAATGTTTCTTACAAAGTGATTGTCAAATTAGTGTGTTATTGTTTTAGAATTTATATTTTTAAATTAGCTTGGAAATTCTAATTGATTAAAATTTTGAAGTTTTATTTTGTAGGACTGATGTGACTTAAATTTTCTTTTCTTTCTTTCTTTTTTTTTTTTTTTNGATCTGGAGTCTCGCTCTGTTGCCTAGGCTGGAGTGCAGCGGTGCAATCTCAGCTCACTGCAACCTCTGCCTCCTGGGTTCAAACGATTCTCCTGCCTCAGCCTCCCAAGTAGTTGGGATTACTGGCACCCACCACCATGCCCGGCTAATTTTTATATTTTTAGTAGAGATGGGGTTTTGCCACATTGGCTAGGCTGGTCTCGAACTCCTGACCTCAGATGATCCACCCACCTCTGCCTCCCAAGTGCTGAGACTACAGGCGTGAACCACCGTGCCCAGCCAACTGAAGTTTTTAAGGGTTTTTTTTTTTTTTTAAACTTTCTTAGTTATGTGTGGACTTTATTTCAATGAAGAAACAAAATGATGTAAGATAGTCTCATAGTAATTTTTGATTCTGATCTTTTAAAGTTCTGCCCTTTTTTTCCCCTCCCTTTATATTTAGAATTGCCAATGCCACTCCCATCCCAGGAGACTTGCTTCGAGAAAATACAGATGAGGTATTTCCAGATGAACAGCTTAGTGATGGAGAAAATGGCATCCCTGTTTGTGTGTCACCAGATAAATTGCCTGGATCTCTGGGACAGCCTCGTCCCCAGGAGAAGGATGTTTGGGAAGAGATGGATGCCAACAAAAACAAGATAAAGCTTGGAATTTGTAAGGTATGATACCTTATAAACAACAGAAATGTATTTCTTACAGTTCAGAATGCTGGGAAGTCCAAGAAGGAAGGCTAGGCAAATTTGGTGTCTAATGAGGGCTGTTTTGTAGCTCCTCCTTGCTAAGTCCTCATGTGGTAGATGGAGAAAGGGGATTCTGTTGGGCCTCTTTTTTAAGGACACTGCTCTCATTCATGAGGGCTCTGCCTTCTTGACCTAATTACCTCCCAAGGGGCCTACCTCCTAATACCCTCACATTGGGAGTTAGGATTTCAGCATGTCAATTTTTGGGGGACACAAACATTCAGACCATAGTAGGTGTATATCTTCAGTCATGGGAGTCATTTGCAAAATGTTCTCTGCATAGATGTGATGTGCCACCGTGTGATCTGGCTGTTGACAAAGCACGGTCTGGACCAATAGTAATCAGGAATGAGTAGTGAAAAGTAGACAGGGAGTCAATATCAGATTTTTGTAGTATCAGCTGCGGCTGGCTTTATGGCAACAGGAACAAACTGTTCTTATAGCAAAAAAATCACTAGTGACATTCTCAGTTGTCAGCCCATATGGATATCTCTGTATGTGACAGAATGAAATGGCACTTGACATAGAAGATCTTAGTTATTTTAGTTTCTTTTACTATTTAATCTCAGTGAAATTTGAATGATAGTTTTGACCCTAAGTCCATTACTTATTATAATGGTTATGTGAAGTTTATTAAATTTATAATGTATAGTGCTATACATTACAAGCTCTCATTTAGAACATCTGGATAAAGCATTAAGCTAAATATTGAAGACAATTTACTAAGATAGGTGCTGTGCAGTTTAAGATACATCTTTTACCTTTAAGGAGCTTACAGTCTGTTCAAGTAGATAATTATCTGCACAAGCAAATATAATATAAGACAGAACATTGTGCAAAACATTAAAAGGAATTAAAATGCATGCAGATGGGGTGGGAGTTGGGGACATGCCTTATGGAAAAAGTGGTTTAAGTAGAAGTATAAGTAAAAATATGTGCAGGAGGGCTGAGCACCATGGCTCACATCTGAAATCCCATCACTTTGGAAGTCAGGAGTTCAAGACCAGCCTGGCCAACATGGTGAAACCCTGAATCTACTAAAAATATAAAAAATTAGCTGGGTGTGGTGGTAGGTGCCTGTAATCCCAGCTACTTGGGAGGCTAAAGAAGGAGAATCGCTTGAACCTGAGAGGCAGAGGTTGCAGTGAGCCAAGATAGTGCCACTGCACTCCAGCCTGGGTGACAGAGTGAAACTCCATCTCAAAAAAAAAAAAAGAAAAAAATTAAAAAAAAAAAAAAAAAAAAAATTAAAAAAAAAAAAAAATATATATATATATATATAAAATATTGTATGTATGTATATGAGAAAGTGCGTGGATAGAGCTTGTAACTTTAGGAATTTATTGGTCATCTAGGCGAGAAATTCAAAACAACTATATTTATCTTTTAAAGTCTGCTTATACTATATATAAAAGAGTTTATATATCATTTCAAAGCATAGTAATGTAAGCATGTGAATCCACCATCTGCCCCAAGAACTAGAATATTTTAACATATTCCTTCTATATTTATGCTTCTACCCTATCCCCACTGAGGTAACCACTGTCTTAGGTTAGATTCCATAAAAGCAGAGCCACAAACCTTAATAAATTTAAATAACTGAAATCACACATAGTATGTTCTCTGACCATAATGGAATTAATCTAGTAATCAGTGACATAAAGACAACAGGAAAATTTCTAAACACTTGGAAATTATACAGCATATTTCTATATAATCCATGGGTCAGAGAGGAAGTCTTAAAGGAAAATTTTTTAAACTTACATAGAATTGAATGAAATTAAAACTACAGCATATCAAAATGTTTGGGAGGCAGCTAAAGCAGTGCTGAGAGGGAAATGTATAGCACTAAATGCTTACATTAGGAAAGATAAGGTTTTACATCAATAGTCTAAATCCTACCTCAGGAACCTAGAAAAGGAACCAGCAGAATGAACCTGAGACAAGCAGAAAGAAGGTAATAAATATCTCAGTTACTGTATTGCAAAGTTTTGGTGTGTTATATTTTCATTCTCCTTCTGTTTTAAAACTTTTCCCATAATGATTTTTTTCCTCCATGAGTTATTAAGTGCATACAAGTTTAGAATTTTTATATCTGCCAGGTGATTAAAAGTTTTGTTTTTCTTTATTTAGTGATTATTTGTATTCTATTCCTACTATATTTTTCTAGTATTAAAGCTTATTTTGTTAATACAATTATGCCAGCTTTCTTTTGGGTATCTTTTTTCTTCCTTTGGTGTATCTTTTTTCCTCCTTTATCTTTCCATTTTTTCTTACTTGTATTCATCTGTTGTGACTTTTGTTAAGTGGAATATAAGTGGACAGTCTTACATCTTTATGTTTTAATTGCTCAGCTTTATTTGTTTAAATTTAGAATTATTATTATTATTATTTATTCAGTCAGAGTCTCACCCTGTCACCAAGGCTGGAGTGCAGTGGTGCAATCTTGGCTCACTGCAACCTTCACCTCGTGGGATCAAGTGATTCTTGTGCTCTAGGCTCCCAAGTAGCTGAAACTACAGGCGCCTACCACCACACCTGGCTAATTTTTGTATTTTTAGTAAAGATGGGCTTTTGCCACTCTGGCCAGGATGATCTCAAACCTCTGACCTGAGGTGATCTGCTTGCCTTGGTCTCCCAAAGTGCTGGGGTTACAGGCATGTGCCACGGGGCCCAGCCTTGGATTACATTACTAATGTTGTTCTTTTATACAAGTAATGTTTATATGGACTTTCAAAGATGTTTACCATTTTATTTCATTTCTGAAAGTCTTTGGCTCATCTTTCTTCCTGAAATATTTCCTTTAGAAGTTCTTTTACTTCAGGTCTTTTGGTAGAGGATTCTTTCTATAAATGTATTTACTTATCTATAAATGTATTTATTTTAGCTTCATTCTTTTAAGATAGTTTATGCTGAATGTAAAGGTTTTTTTTGTTGTTGATGTTTGTCTGTTTTTTCAGACAGGGTTTTGCTCTGTTGCAGTGGTGTGATCTCAACTCACTTCAACCTCCACCTCCTGGGTTCAAGCAATTCTCCTGCCTCAGCCTCCTGAGTGGCTGGGCCCACAGGCACGTGCTACCATGCCTGGCTATTTTTTTTTTTTCTTAGTAGAGACAGGGTTTCACCATGTTGGCCAGGCTGGTCTTGAACTCCTGGCCTCAAGTGATTCACCCACCTTGGCCTCCCAAAGTGCTGGGATTACCAGCGTGAACCACCAAGCCTGGTCCAAATATAAAGTTTTTGATTGATAGTTATTTTTCCTCTGGCTTCAGTCATTGGTGTTCAGAAACTGTCATTCTAATTATTTTGTTTCTTTTAAAGTGATCAGTTCCCCCACCTTCATTTTTCCTTCCAGCTACTTTTTAGTTCTTGTTTTTGTCTGTGGTGTTCTGCATTTTAACTATGATGCTTCTAGGCAATATTTCTTTTTGTTTATCTTGCTTGGGATATCTCGTGTTCCTTGAACATTTTTATTCATATTTTTGTATAAGTCCTGGGAAATAACAGCCATTCTCTATCTAAATGTTACTGACTCTTCATTCTTTCTATTATCTCTTTCTAGGACTATAGATATATTATGCCTTTTTATTGTATCCATCATATCTCTTAATATCTTTTTTCATAATTTTCTTCTTGTTTTTTATTCTAGGTAATTTCTTTGGCTATGTCTTCCACTTCACTGATTAATAATTTCAACTTATTTTTTTGCTAACTTGCTGTTTAACTTGTTAATTGAATATTTAATATTCAGTTAATCATCCAAATAACCCTTTGTTGATCTTTGTTATAATGGCCTTTATTTATTTAAACATTTATGCATAGCTGGTCTATATTTTGTATTGAAACCAGTTCAATATCTGAAATCGTTGGGAGTTTTAAATGTTTTTCTTCGTTTTGATTATTTCTGTTGTGTCAGTCATGGTAGCATGCTTTCTCATGTGTTGATTCTCTCTTTTTTTTTTAAGTTAATTAATAATTGAAATCATTGATAGGAGTTCTGTAGACTTAACTGGGATTTGGGGAAACCTTCCTTTAAAGAAGACTGGCATGTGTTTCTGCTGCTACCCAGAGTGTATCACCTATTTGACCCAATTGGGGATCCTCTTAAGGGTCTCTAATCAGAATAGATGTCCCAGACTTCCCTCTGTCACCATACTTCTGCTATAAAGCTTAACTGCCCTGATAATTGTGTTCCATAGGCACCTGGCTTTAAACAGTCCCACTCCCTGGGCTGCCTTAGCTCCTAGTAGTCTGGCCCCAGGCTTTTCGTTGTTTTGTTTTTTAGAGGTGGGAATGAGAAAAGGGGTATAGCGACTCAGGCTTGGTGTCCTCTCCTAACTTGTGAGACCACTTACGTCTCAAAGAGAACATCCTTTCCAGGTTTCAGTTTTAGGTTAGTGGAATGGGGTCCCACAAGCATTAAGTCAGACATAATTCAGAAGGCTAAGTCTGTTAAACATTTTTAGACTGTTTATCTTTGTGCCAAAAATATTTTTAAAGGCTAAAATAATACTAAAACTGACTATAAATTAAGAAAACACATTTAATGAAGAGTTAATAGATAAGAATATAATGAAGTAAACTAGTCAAGATGTCCTAATCATCTGAAAACACATCTAATCATTTATTTATATTATTTTGAAAAGCTTCAATGACTCCTCTCATGTGTATTGCCTAGAATGTTTTTCATGATTTTATTTTCTATTTTGGATAGGCTGCTACTGAAGAGGAGAACAGCCATGGCCAAGCAAATGGTCTTCTCAATGCTCCTAGCCTTGGGTCACCAATTCGTGTCCGCTCAGAGATTACTCAGCCAGACAGAGATATTCCATTGGTGCGAAAGTTACGTTCCATCCACAGCTTTGAGCTGGAAAAACGTCTGACCCTGGAGCCAAAGCCAGACACTGACAAGTTCCTTGAGACCTGGTATAAAATAGTTTTTCTTTCTTTTTAAAGCCTCTGAGGTACCATTATTATTGTTGTTGTTATGGTATATTTCTGTTATATAAAGTCTTTCAAATAAGAAATTCTTGTATTTTTGTAACACTGATTCTATTAAGCTCTAATTTTAACCCATGTTTTTAAATATTATTCTGATTCTTAATTATTATAAATTCCATAGCATAATCTTTGGCTTTGGAAGCTGACCAGTAGGAGCTGATAACTTCCTAACACTAGGTACAAGTTAAATTAACATTTTTACAGTATCATTGTTTGGAAAGTAATCTCTTCCAAACAACAGTGTAGCACTGGAGAGGGCATGATAAAGATGGCATTAGGCAGAGATGAGGGGAATACATGAAGGAGGGGAAAAAGTAATTTATACACAAGGGACAGGCAATTCAATTCACTTTAGTGGAGACCTTCTAGGAGTAAGATACTGTGGGAAAGTAGATACCATTAAGTATAACATGCTTGCCTTCAAGAGTTCACAATCTACGTAAACAGAAAGGAAGGCGAAACTTTAGAGAGCTATACATAGGTAAAGACTGTAGTGCATGACTCTGAGGCACATTATCCCTATGACAAATTTTGGTAATAGAAGACAGAAATGAAAAAAGTTTGAGACATATCTATGAATTATAGAAGGCTTCAACAGTATTCACAGTATTAAGACCTGATTTCCTTTAGTAGTAGTTACACCCTTCAGTGGTACATCTCTGGTGGTTACTATTGGTAGTGAAATACTAGGTTAAAGGGACCATGAATTTGACTAATATGATAATTACTGTGTACCAAGACAATTCAGCCACTTCTGGCCTACTCCAATCTAGCTTCCATTTTAAACAATCCTTCACATATGTGTGTTCTTCCTCACATGGTAATCATTCATAGCTATGTTATGTAAGCACATATCTACATGATGCCATGATCAAAAGGATGAATAGGGGCATTGGTTTAAACATTTTGAATTGTGGCTCAGATTGAGAATAAATATCAAAGTACAGTAGGGATAAAAGCTTAGATCAATAAAAAGTTGGTCTAACAAAAGAAGGGAACTAAAAAGGGCCTTGGTGAGGAAAGAACTGAGCTCCATCTTCTGAAGCAGGATATGACAGGTGGAGAAGAACATTATCAATGCTGTGAAACTTTCCCTATGCTTTATCCATCTTTTTTTCTCTCATCTTTGTGTCAATATAGTTCTCTATAGAGCTTACGTATTATATAATGAATGTTTCCTTAGGATAATTAAGTAACTTCTTTCTATTTCCTTAAGCCTGGAGAAAATGCAGAAAGATACCAGTGCAGGAAAAGAATCTATTCTCCCTGCGCTGCTTCATAAGCCTTGCATTCCTGCTGTGTCCCGTACTGACCATATCTGGCACTATGATGAAGAATATCTTCCAGATGCCTCCAAGCCTGCTTCTGCCAACACCCCTGAGCAGGGAGATGGTGGTGGCAGCAATGGATTTATAGCGGTTAACCTGAGCTCTTGCAAGCAGGAGATTGATTCCAAAGAATGGGTGATTGTGGACAAGGAGCAGGACCTTCAAGATTTTAGGACAAATGAGGTTGTAGGACATAAAACAACTGGAAGTCCTTCTGATGAGGAGCCTGAAGTGCTTCAAGTCTTGGAGGCATCACCTCAAGATGAAAAGCTCCAATTAGGTCCTTGGGCAGAAAATGATCATTTAAAGAAGGAAACCTCAGGTGTGGTCTTAGCACTTTCTGCAGAGGGTCCTCCCACTGCTGCTTTGGAACAATATACAGATAGACTGGAACTCCAGCCTGGAGCTGCTAGTCAGTTTATTGCAGCGACACCCACAAGTCTAATGGAGGCGCAGGCAGAAGGACCCCTTACAGCGGTAAGAAATTTGTTCTTGTTATGATTCTCTGTTATCCACTTAAGGTGCTATTGAGAAAGGACTAACAGTTGATCAACTGAGATTCTTCAGTAGAAGCCTAAATTTTGCAAATGGTTATAGGGAGTGATTTTGTACTAAGTTCTACAATCAACTCTCCAACATGAAATTTTTCAAAAAGTGAGACCTTTCATTATATGAAACTCAATAAATGAAGCATCATTATAACCTATTTTTTAATAACATTTTAAATTAGATTACAAGTAGTAGCTATCTATGTGTGTTTATATATAATACAATTTTTTAACGTTTCTAGTAATTTTTACTATACATTTACGGAGGAAGGCATATATTTAATCATTCGTGGTTTGTTCTTTACATGGTACACTGTTGCTAGTCCTGAGACTTTAATATTCTCTCTCTTTCATAGCATCCACCCAAGAATTTCTCATATTTTATATTCCCGTTAAACAGTCATTTTCTAACATTGATGGCCACTGTTCAAAATGCAGAGTCCCAGGCTGGCTCACTTCTAAAACTTTTGTTTTAGTAGGTCTGGGGAAGAGCCTGCACAGGAATCTTCATTTTAACAAGCAGGTAGAGGCGGCATTTATGATACAGGTCTTCTGCAAAGGAAACTTTTGAGGAACCACTATGGTTTATTTTCAGTTTTGGGCATTCAGCTGGAGAATCCTGTTACCCTGTTACCAGTAAGCAGTGATGCCTCCAGTGACTGTGTGAGGGGGAGCCCCAGAAAAGCCACAGATGGTCAAGCAAAGCCTTGAAAAGCCCCAGGCTAAATAAGGAACTGTGAACACAAATCTTAGGTACCCACAAGTACATCTCTCCTTATGTGATGAGAGCTACCAGGTTTTCTTAAATTCCATAATCATCTAGCAGTCCCTGCCAACTCACCGGAAACTGCATTGTTCCCCAGACTGAAATGTTTTCTATTGGAACACAATTCCACATCAGATGCAAAACAGTGGGAAAAGATACCAATGAAAATTTATTTTGTGTACCATTCTGAGAAATTTGCCTGTGCTCCAAAATAGGGAAATAAAGGCCTGCCTGCCTCTTCACCAATCAGAGTTAGTTAATAGGTCTTTTCCTCTTTCCCGGGACTGCTTTGTGTAGTTAGGCAGATTGTTTGCGGCATAAAGGGATTTAGCCAGGAGACAAATTGGGGCTGAAGTCTAGCCCAGACTTTGCTTTCCAGACTATGCATCTTGGCACAGGGCCGTTTCCTTTCGGAAGGGCATTCTTTTCCAAATTGTACAAAGGTATCATGTGGGCTAGAGGTAGGTAACTACTAAGTCCTTCCCTCCCTGCTCCATCCTTTTTCCCGCCTCACCTTTCCTCTTTCCAACCATCCCCTCTTTCTTCCCAAGTTCTTCACATTCTTTAACTCTATTATGTTGTGTACTAACTTTTGCTCTAGCATCTTTCCAACAGCATTCTGGTGTGCCTTCCTTCATGGAGGCTTTCTAAAGCCCGAGCTCTATTTCTCCTAGTATTTTTTTGCCCCGTCTCGATGCTGTCCTATTCACAAAGATTGTTCTCATGGTTCTCTTACACTACTGCAATGTTTTCTCTGACAAGTTGTTGATAGGTTTGTATTCACGTATGTGATGTTTGACCTTATTTTTAGATATTTTTGAACTATTTTTATTTATTTATTTTTGAGATGGAGTCTCACTCTGTCACCCAGGTTGGAGTGCAGTGGCATGATCGTGGCTCACTGCAACCTCCGTCTTCCAGGTTCAGGTGATTCTCCTGCCTCAGCCTCCCATGTAGCTGGGATTACAGGCACCTGCCACCACGCCCGACTAATTTTTTTTTGTATTAACTGAAAGTCTGTAATGAAATATCAGCTGCATCAATTGTGTACTTATTTCTAAGTTTTTTGTCTCTATTTTAGAGGTAGGGTCCTGCTCAGTCACCCGGGCTGTAGCACAGTAGAACTATCATACGTCACTGTAACTTCGAGCCCCTGGGCTCAGGTGACCCTCCCATGCCAACCTCCCAAGTAGCTAGGACTACAGGCATGAGTCACCACACCCAGCTAATTTTGTTGTTGTTGTTGTTATTTTGTAGAGACAGGGTTTTGCCATGTTGCCCAGGGTGGTTTCAAATTCCTGTGTTCAAGTGGTCCTCCCATATTGGCCTCCCAAAGTCCTGGGATTACAGGTGTGAGCTACTGCACCTGACTAATTTAACCTTTTGTAAGATGGGATCCCACTGTGTTGCCCAGACTGGTCTCAAACTGCTGGGCTCAAGTAGTTCTCCAGCCTCAGCCTCCCAAAGTCCTGGTATTACAGACATGAGCCACCATGCCCAGCCAGTGCTTCATTTTAATATTACCTTTAGAAATGGTATAAATGCGGCTGGGCACTAGTGACATCACCCGTATGTTATCCAGTGCTATTGCTGTGTAACAAAGTAGCCCAAATTTAGTATCTTTAAACAACAGTCATTATTTTGCACAATTTCTTAGAGCTAGAAATGCAGAAGTGGCTTTAGTTCAGTGGTTCTAGCTCATGCCTGGTCTCTCATGAGGAGTTTGTCAAGCTCTTAGCCAGGGTTAAAATAAACTTAAAAGTTTGGCTGGAAAGGGAAGGTCTACTTCCAACTTCACTCACATCATTGTTGGCAGGCCTCACTCAGTTCCTTACTGGCTGCTGGCCAGAGGCTCTAGTTCCTCACTATTTGGGCCTCTCCATAGTTGACATGACATCTAGCTTTCCCAGTGAGTGAGGCGAGAAAGAGAGATGGGGGAAGAGAGGTGAAGACAATGCATCCCCACCAAGATAGAAGCCACAGTCTTTTCTAATCTGTCTCAGAAGGGGCATTCCATCACTTCTGCCATATTCTACTGCTCACAGAGACCAACCCTGTACAGTGGATAAGGGTCTATACAAGGGTGTGAATACCAGGAGACACCTCTGGGTCATTGGGAACCATTTTAGAAGCTGTCCACCATATTACCTTACATTTATATTTTATAGAATATTTCCCTCTTTGATCTTAACAGCAACTCCATGGGACAAGCAGAGGGAATATTATTATCTCTTTTTGTACTGAGAGCACTAAGCCTCAGGAGACAATCCATGAAGAGTCAGACACTGGTAGACTAGACTTAGTGTTCGTCCCTCATGCCAGGAGATTGCACCTTATGCCAGTCTTCTGTCCTTCACACCAGGACATTGCCAATGCTGACTATACTGAAGGACTTTCCTAATTGACTTGTTTCTTAGAGATCAAGAAAAGGAAAGGGGGTTTAAAATAATGCACAAAGAAGGAGCAGGACCAAAAGAAAAAGAGTAGCAGAATTTTTAATAATCTGTTAGCCAACATCTATTGAGAGAATTCCTCTGACTGTATTTACAGGACTACCAATACCAGCAGTAATAAAATTTAAATTAGCAGTTACTTGCATTGCCTTAATTATGTTCATTTCTTCCTACCAGTGAAGTATCTGCTAATTTCCATGCTTTATGTTATAGTTCAGGGATAACAAGTTGACACCAACCTCTCAGCCTGGCAATGAAAACTTACATCTAAACCGTTACCTTAAACAACCTCAAGTAACTGTAATGGGCTCTTTACAGAAATGAGGACACAGACATATCTGCCTAGGACTGAGGAGTAGAATTTTGGATATCTTTATTTTTTCAACTTTTCTTTATTTTCTAATTTTTTTTTCCATGGTAAAGATGCATTATCTTCATAATTATGGAGGAAGAAAAATTAAAAATCTTCCTGGCAAGATTAAGGAATGCTTCAAAAATAAGTGGAGTTTGAATAAGGATTAAGTTTGTGGGAGGGTGTTGTGAGAATGTCAGACAAAGAAGAGAATGTGCAAAGGCCCAGAGGCCTGAAGCACCAGACATCAATGCATTTAAATAAATGATCCAGAAATGTTAGACAAAAGAAAGAGGCTGAAGACAAGCTTTAAAAGGTAAAGTTATAAAGGGCTTTGCTTGCCATGCTGAGATATGTGGGCTGTGGGACAAGAAACTGCCACCATTGAGGCGGTGGAGTAATGCGCTCTTTGGCAGCAAGGTAGGGGACAATGGGCTGTGAGGAGGGTTTGGTGCTAATCCGGACAGATATGATGAGGGCCTAAACTGTGAAAATCTCAGTGAAGATTTGAGAGACATTACAGTGGTAAACTTTATTTGAAATAGCAGTTTCGACCGGGCGCGGTGGCTCAAGCCTGTAATCCCCGCACTTTGGGAGGCCAAGGCGGGTGGATCACAAGGTCAAGAGATCGAGACCATCCTGGTCAACATGGTGAAACCCCGTCTCTACTAAAAATACAAAACATTAGCTGGGCATGGTGGCGCGTGCCTGTAATCCCAGCTACTCAGGAGGCTGAGGCAGGAGAATTGCCTGAACCCAGGAAGCGGAGGTTGCGGTGAGCCGAGATCGCGCCATTGCACTCCAGCCTGGGTAACAAGAGTGAAACTCTGTCTCAAAAAAAAAAAAAAAAGAAATAGCAGTTTCATGTGGCTTTTCCTGGCATGCGTCACTAAAAATACAAAAATTAGCTGGGTGTGGTGGGGCATGCCTGTAATCCCAGCTACTCAGGAGGCCGAGGCAGGAGAATTGCTTGAACCCGGGAGGCAGAGGTTGCAGTGAGCAGAGATCTCTCCACTGCACTCCAGCCTGGGTGACAGGGTGAGACTCTGTCTCAAAAATAATAATAATAAGCATTATATATATTATATATATATTTCATATATATATATATATATATATATATATATATATATAGCAGTAATCGTCATATAGTACTATGGAACACTAGAAGTTATTTGTCCTGTCTAGCTGTAATTTTTTTATTCAACAAATCTTTCCCTATCTCCCCATTCCCTCTACTCATCTCAGCCTCTAATAATAACCTTTCTTCTACTTTTTACTTAAGTAAACTAAATTTTTTTAGCTTCCTCATATTAGAACGTGGTATTTGTCTTCCTTTGCCTGACTTATTTAACATA